TCGCCCCCCTCCTTCCTTCCCTCTTCCTACATGTTAGAAAAGGCAAAAACACTGTCAACATGAATGCACATTTTAAGCTGGAATACAAGAAACATTTGTACTCTTAAAGAATTAATTGATCGTTTCAAGATCCGAGCAAAACCGCATGTGCACACTAGCACATTTGCTGCGTTGCCACCTGGTTGCATCTGCATAAGATGCAAATACCGACTGTAAAAACGCACAAGAATGATGTATTTGTGAGCTGAAGTATCATGGGCACCAGTTTTTGTTTGGCTGAGTGCTTCAAGAGCATCGCTTTTATCGTAAACGAAATAGATTTCAGGAGCTTGGACACCAAATCCACATCGAGCTACTTCCTTGGAAGATAATGGAGTGCAGTCAAGACGTAGTAAAAGCGTTGGGCGTTACGTGGGAGTCGAAGCTGAGTTGCAGCAACAGCAGCAGCATAGTCATGTCAATGGACGGATGCATCTGTCATCAGAAACTGGAACCGACTTAGGTGGTACTCAGTTCGGTCCGTCACTAATGCAACGCTACAGCACTAACCGCTTTGCTCTGGAGCGCTCTAGAACCCGACACTTCCACTTACCGCCTTATCGTTTTGAGAAGCAGCGTTGCCGCATGGAGCCTGCGCTGCTTCCGCCTCCCATGCTGCCTTTTCCGGAAACAGCTCGATGCTTACACTGTGGTTTGCCGTGTTACAGCTTATCAGGGAGTGAAGTGGAATATATTTTTAAGACGTTTGGTGAGAAAGACATCCATAAGCAATGGTTCGCAGAGCAGCTGGATGAACTGATCAAAGCTACAGCAATTGGACAGCGTCTGGATCAGTCCGCCACATACTTACAGAGTTTGATTGATTGCTTGAAAGCGTGTACTACTAATACCAAGTCTTCACGACCACTGCTTGCCTACACATCATCTGATAAATGCCACTGTCGCCTGCAACAACTCACAAATGTTACTTCGCCTTTCTTTCCTTCCACAGTCTGCGCAGGTCCGTACCTTCATCAAATTCACGTGGTGTTTGTTCTAACAACGTAGGTTAGCAGTTACTGAACAAGTTTCTGTGTGATTTTATGAATTCTTTTTGTTCATTATCTTTTGAGTTGTCGTTCATATAAACCGCTTTTGGCCTTTTCAGTGTATTACTGCTGGAAAAACTCTACCACTCGATTTGTTTAGGGTCGCTTGTACGTTTATGCGTTTTTTGCAGCAATGCAATGCGAAAAACGCATATTGACGAGAGGCTGTCTGTGTGTGTGTCTGTGTGTGCGCTGGACCTCTGTACCGACTTTTCATCTCGAGACCGGCAAAAGCTACGGGGCTGAAACTTTGGAGTTATGCTACATGCACGTACGGGCCCCCATCCCCAAAATTGGCGCCAAAACCCGCGTGGTAGCCGCGTACGGGTCATGCACGTACCGCCCCCAGTCCCCAAAATGGGCGCCAAAACCCGCGTGGTACCCGCGTACGGGCTTCCCAAAGTTTTTTCGGGGTCAGTTCATAACTCGAGGATCTGAGAAGCTAGAAGGCTGAAATCTTGGAGTAATGTTCCCGCCCAAAGTTTTTTTGGGATCAGTTCATAACTCGAGGATCTGAAAAGCTAGAAGGCTGAAATCTTGGAGTTTTTTTGGGGTCAGCTCATAACTCGAGGATCCGAGAAGCTAGAAGGCTGAAATCTTGGGGTAATGTTCCGCCCATCCCCAAAATTGGCGCCAAAACCCGCGTGGTACCCGCGTACGGACCCCCCAAAGTTTTTTGGGACTCCCCAAAATTGGCGCCAAAACCCGCGTGGTACCCGCGTACGGACCCCCCAAAGTTTTTTTGGGGCCCCAAAATTGGCGCCAAAACCCGCGTGGTACCCGCGTACAGGCCCGCCAAAGTTTTTTTGGGATCAGTTCATAACTCGAGGATCTGAAAAGCTAGAAGGCTGAAATCTTGGGGGGACCAGCTCATAACTCGAGGATCTGAGAAGCTAGAAGGCTGAAATCTTGGGGTAATGTTCCTCGCCCAAGCGGGTTGGTACTCCCGCACGAGCCCCCCAAAATTTTTCCCGCGCAAATTCATAACTCGGGGATCTGAGAAGCCAGAAGGCTGAAATTTTGGGGTAATGTTCCCCGCCCAAGCGGCTATTAGTGGGTTCAAATCCAGCCCACGGGTAGGCGTGGTACCCGCAGGCTGAAATTTTGGGGTAATGTTCCCCGCCCAAGCGGCTATTAGTGGGCTCAAATCCAGCCCCCGAGTAGGCGTGGTACCCGTGCACG